ACAACGGACCCGGTCAAACCCGGTCAAAACCCGGTCGACCCGGCCTTGACCCGGTCGACCCGGGGCATTGACCCGGCTGGGTCAACCCGATTGACCCGGTCTATATGTATATTTTTTTTTATTTTCTTTTTCTTTTTAAAAAATAAAATTAAGTATATATATTTGTATGATAAATATATACATATTATTACCACTTTAATCTACAAATTTTACATACAAAATATTTAAGTTTGTTATTTTTATGTATATTTATATATCATAAAATACTCTATATATAATTTTATAAATTTTAAAATTAATTATCCGGTTCAGGAATTGACCCGGTGACCCAGCGGTTGAACCGGTGACCCGGTGACCCGAAGACCTGCCCGGGTCGATTACCGGGGTTTAAAAACTATGGTCCAAAGTCTACCATCGTCCAATCCTAGTCTACCCCGAAAAACAACCTCAAAACACAGCTGTCTTCCAGCTATCCACGTCATCATAACCCCAGCTGGCCTGGCCCCACCCATAAACACAATTCCCACTAGCCAATCACAAACCCCAATTTTCCCATAAAATCCCCAAACTACCCCTCCCCCCATAAAAAAACCCTCACCCCGACGGTAACCGCCAGGTGTATATAACATCCCTCATCGCTGTCACTCGTCGTACGTGCGAGACAGCTCACCCTGCACGCTTCCCCATGCAACCCCACCCCCACCCACATATATACGCCATTTTTGCTCAATTTCTCTATCAGTTATAGTTCCATCGGCGTTTTCTTTTCTCCTCTGATTTGTGAGTGATGGATCCGTGTCCTTTCGTGCGGATTGCCATCGGAAACCTCGCCCTGAGGTTTTCCGAGGGAGCTCACCTGGGTTCCTTGTCGTATTACTGTAGGTTCAAGCTCAAGGGCTTTCCCGCCCAATTTTCCGACGTCCCCTTTCTTGGCACGGGGAGCGACGCCGTCGAGAGCAGGATCCACGCCTGCTTCGCCTTGAAGAGGTCTGAATTGGAGAAATTGGCGGAAAAATCGAGTAAAAATTGGTGCCTGAGGGTGGAAGTACGCCGGCGGAGCGGCGGCGGCGGTGGGTTTTGTGGGTTCGTCGGCGGTGGTGGCGGAAGAGGTGGCAAGCTACTGGGCTGCGTTCTGGTGCAATTGGATTTAAAGAGTGTTTTGGAGAATTTGGGGAGTAATTGTAGTCGGGCCTGCGTGGTTCAGAATGGGTGGGTTTCGGTCGGTGGGGCGGATGCGAAGTTGCATATGAACGTCCGGGCCGAGCCCGACCCGAGATTTGTTTTCCGTTTCGACGGGGAGCCGGAGTGCAGCCCCCAGGTTTTTCAGGTGAATGGGAATGTGAAGCAGCCGGTTTTCACCTGCAAGTTCGGGTTCAGAAATTCCGGGGAAAGGGTTTTGAGATCCAGGTGAATATCTTTTCTCTTCCTTTTTTTTTATTTTTATTTTTTGGCTTATTTATAAGATTATTTGGGGGTTCTTGTTAAAACTTCGTTCTTGTTTGTGTTCTGTAATTGGTAGTGCTTTGTATAAATTCTGAGTAGATTGATTGCTTGAAAAAAAAAAATAAGAATTTGAACAGTTAGATTCAGTCTAGGTACCTGTTAAATTTCTCTGTAGAATTCTGGATTTTGCCCACTAACAATTCACACCATTAGAGAACATATAACATCTAAAGTATCATTAGTGGCACATACACTTGTTCTTGCAAATGTTCTAACCTACATTCTTGATTTACCCCGCAGATCCGCTCTATCCGAACCGAGCACCTCATCATCCAGCTGCTTCACCCCCGGGAAATCGAAATCAAAATCGGACGATCAACGGTCCACAAGAGAACGCAAGGGCTGGTCCATCACGATCCACGACCTTCAAGGCTCCCCCGTAGCAGCCGCTTCTATGGTCACCCCTTTCGTCCCATCCCCAGGCTCCGACCGGGTCAGCCGCTCCAGCCCGGGCGCCTGGCTCATCCTCCGACCCGGCCAAGCCACCTGGCAGCCATGGGGCCGTCTCGAGGCATGGCGAGACGGGCCACGACTCGGTTACCGTTTCGACCTTGTACCCGATGGAGGCAGTGTCGACACGATCCCGCTCGCCAGCTCGACAGTCGACGCGAAGGCCGGTGGGAAGCTGAGCATCGACGTCACGACGGGCCACACGCCGCTGGCGAGCCCTAACAGTAGCTTTGACTTTGGGTCGGGTTCAGGTTCAGGTTCAGGTTCAAGTTCGGATTCTGGGTCTGGATCGTGGGCTCATCTTTTGTATCGGGGGTTTGTGATGTCATCCACGGTGGGAAGGCAGGGAGGGCCGGAGGTGGAGGTTGGGGCCCCACACGTGACGTGCACGGAGGATGCGGCCGTTTTTGTGGCGCTGGCGGCGGCTATGGACCTAAGCGTGGACGCTTGCCGGTCGTTTTCGGAGAGGCTGAGGAAGGAGCTGAGGCAGTCGGATCCTGAATAGGGTTTTTTGGGTCCGGGTCGGGTTATTGGAATGGGTTTGGGTTTTTGATTGGATTTTTGTTTGTTTTTTTGTTTGACTGTACAGTCATTGACAGCTATTTTGAGTATTGGATGATTTTTTTTTTATTTCTTTTTTTGTTGGGGGTGGAAATGGAATAATAAATTTTTTTATTGATTTTTACTTGGAATCCTAAGATGCGTGTGGTTGGGTGGGAAAGAGAGAAGAAGTAATGGGATTATGGGCTGGCATGGACAAGGACGGCCGGTTGATGAGAGCACCCACAATGCTTTGGGTTTCTTAGAAAAAAGTTACATGCCATGTAAGAAATAGACCTAGTCTATAAAAAAGTGTTCTCCAATGCAATTAAAAGTGGACCTAGTCTAGCTTATGTGGCAATAAAAAAATGAGACCTAGTCCACACTTGGGTCTATTTTAGACCCAAGTACAAACCCAAGCACTCATCATTTATTCCTCATTTAATTTTTCTTTTAATAAATAAAATATACTAGAGCATTTTTATTGGTTGTCATGTATTCTAGACCTAGTACTTTTTTGTTTTGCATTGGATAGATTTTGGTTTTTTTAGTTTAGGTTTGTCTATGTCATTATGGACTTAAGTCTATTTATTTGCCACATATGCAAAAAGAGACCCAAAGCATTGTGGATGCTCTGATGGTGGTGTTAGAACTGTACATTTACACATTATATAGGAGTACTTTTTTTGTCAAAGTTTGGGGAACTTAATCTACAACAGTTTGTGCCTATCTGGAAATGGAATCTAAGTTTAAATGTATGTGATGTTTGTGGTCAAAATTGAGTTTGGGGGTCATAATGTATGTGGGTCCGACTCACCGAATCAACACACAACTATATGGGTGTATGGTGTGTAGAGGTGACCAGGTGCCGGGTCGCGGCCCGGCCCGGCCCGGCCCGCCGGGTCGACGGGCCTCAATATTATGGCCCGTAACCGGCCCGAAAAATATATGGGCCGGTTCATAGAACCGGCCCGGAACCGCCGGTTTCAACAGCCCGGCGGGTCTCGGACGGTTCCGGGCCGGTACGGCCCTTAAAAATCCACAAAAAAACAATGTGAACCGGTGCGACTCGGCCCGGCCCGGCCCGCCGGGACCAAAAAAAAAAAAGTGACCCTTAACCGGACCGGATTGGCCGCGGTCCGGTTCTAAAAACCGGCACTATTCATGCCGGTACCGGTACCGGGCCGGGCCGGTACCGGGTCACGGGTCGGGCCACGGGCCGGGTCGGCCCGTGGCCATGTCTAATGGTGTGGATTTGTATGACCCGACGACTAACAACATCGATGGCTAATAGAGTTCAATGATCAGTTCTTTACAATTAAATTATCGATTCTTTTTAGTTCAACTTCGACGGTGATAGGTCATCGATAGGTTATGGGTTTGAGTCACGGAGGAGAGGAGGTGAGAACACTATTGAACCCTATTTTTTAAGAGAAAAATATAAAAAAAAAACTTCGATGGCGATAGAGTTCGTGTGACGGCTCAACAAATATCCACACGGGTGTGGGGGTATGTGCGTAACTACACCAGTTGGGTTGAATTTTCTGTTCTCTTTAGTTAAATAAATGTCAATTTTTTCACTGCTCGTCACGTACTTGCACGAGGTGTGGTGTGCGTGTGATTCAATACTGACGAGATGATCGAAATATCCATTCTTGTATAGTTAAAGCATGGGCAATTTGTGAAGGAATGTTTAGGGTTTGACAAAACATAATTATTGTTCGATGGGTTTGAGTCCAAAAAAGTGTACATTTGGAGTCGGCTCGAGGAAATTTCTAAGCTAAATTGTTAGCCAAAATAGAGTCAATCCCGAGAAAATTAAAGTTAACAAAGACCTTAGACCACCTAGCTCGATAAAAGAAGTTCCTAGTCTCACTGGGCAAATCGCGGTATTAATCAGGCTCATATCAAAGTCAAAATATCAGTGCAAGTCATTCCTTGAAACCATAAAAAAGAACAATAAGTTCAAATAGACCCCAGAATGCCAAAGTGCCTTGAAAAGTATAAAGACGACACTAGGACAAGCCCCTATCCTACAAAAACCCCAAGCTCAGAAAGATGTTGTATCTGTACTTAGGAGTTACGAACATGGCCATAAGCGCTACTTTAGTATGAGAGGAAAATTCAAAACAACACCCGACCTATTATGTGAGCAAGACTTTATACGACGTTGAGCTATGCAGCTACACTACCCGCCCATGGAAAAGTTAGACTTGCCTTAGTAACTGCGAAATGAAAGTGACGGCCATATTTCCTCTAGTACTCGATAACCGTCCTGACTGCCTACCCCCTGAGGCAAATTTAGACAATAAAGGGACAAAAAACTATCACAACTCGGGTTCAAACAAGTTAAGTCAAGCTCATATCGAGCTCATGATGCTCGAACTTGATCCTTAAGCAACCTTGAGTTCAACTCGTTTATCCATATTGACAAGTCAAGCTCAAGCATTAACGAGTGCTCAAGTTCTAATGAGATGAACTATAGAAAATAATATAAAAAATCATGTTCACGAGACTTAACTAGCCTTATCGAGTTGACATGTCAACTCAACAAGCTCGAACTGACTCGTTGAGCTGGGACATTTCGAGACAAGTTTACAAGCGACTTATTTTATTTAACAATTCTAATCAACCCTCTCAATCTTGTTTGGCCAAAAAGCACTCTTTTTCGAACTTTTTTCAAATTAATAATTTTAAATAAAATAATAGTTTAGCCTCTACCTTTATGGTAATTTGATTACAAGTTTTGATTATAACATCTAATTTATGTTGGAACCTTTAGTACATGCTTGAGTACAAATTTTTTAAAATGAAAAATTCAATTATTTTTAACCAGCCACTTTTTTTTATCTCAATTCTAACTCAACTATAACTCAACCCAACTATATTCAATATTACCTATATAATTTAAACGCAAGACATTACAAAGTTAGTTTACTATTCATCTACTCACATAATTTTAACTAATCATCACTTCACATAACCTCTTTCCTATTTTTATATCAAATTATTTTAATTAATTTTTTTTAAATATTATTTTAATGTAAATTCAAAATTACTCTAATTTTTTTGTTTCTTTTTTTTTTTCAAAAATAACCATATCGAACTAAAAAAATCCAAACAAAATAAAAATATTTTATTACCAATCATCCCAATTTGTCTCGTATCTTTCATCAGCAAAGTGAGAAACTTGAAATTATAACCTTAAAAAACAAGATCTATAACTAATTAAAAACGTGAAAATGAATATTTTTCGTCAAGTGATGATGGCACAAATATATTTGTCAAAATATTTTGACTGCAAAAATGCTTAATTTCATGCGATATTCCATATTGCTCATGAAGTCCAAAGAAGTGAAATTATTCAGTCAGAGTCAACGAACAATAGATGTTCATACTTTGAAACATTTGATAATATTAACATTGTTTGATAACAAGAAAACTATAATATATGATAATATTATGAGTATAATCTTTTGTTCATATAATATGACGGGTCGATTTTCCTACTAATGATTAATAGATAGTCCTGACTCTGCACATTTTTCTTACCATCCAGATAAAGTTTTTTTTTTTTTTTGATCAATATTGTTCGCACATAAATATATAAATACATACTTAAAAATATATGTTATTATGCTACTAACGTTTATTGTTTATGATGCTATATTTAACATTAATTATATGGTGGTATAGCACATATATAATGTTGTGTATAATGTTGATATTTTTTTTTTAACAAAAGATTATAATAAAAAATAGTGCAAAACACAAATAAAATTCACACTATCACAAATCTAATAGTACTAAAATTTAATTATATTTAAACCACATTCAGTGCATTTGTTCAAACTATATATTACTAATTGGGGGGTTTGACTCACTTAAAATATGATAGATTTTGTAGAAATTTGTAATATCTCTTCATCCACTAATTAAATTAATTATTAATGAGGTCGGCAGTGCTTTATAATTCATGAGTTGAGTATGAACCACTCCAATAAATAATTATCTTTCAAACTATTATACTAATAATAATTTTTTAATGGACATTTCAATAAACAGAGCAATGATAGGTTGAGATGAACTCTAGCAGGCCTACTGTTAAGTTGAGATGAGCTCTTGCTCCTCTCTTGTTAGGTCGAGACGAGACGACCTCTATAGGTGACTTGAAGAAATTTGATTGATTTTAATTGTACTTTAGTCCAATAGTTGTTTTATGTCTTTTATTTTTATTTTCATTTTTTTTTTCTTTAGAGTTGCAGTTTTTCATTTATTAATTAGTACATGCCTTCAATTTACAGAAATTGAAGAAGTGGTGCCTTATGCCAGCCAACTTGGACAATTGTGTGTAAAAATAAAATTGAAATAAAGATTATGATTTATTTTGAAAGTAAGCCTATTAGAAAAGGGGAGAAAATAAAAGAAGTCAAAAGATAAATAAAATAAATAAATAACCCTATAAAACACTTCATTACACATTGAATTGACCCACTTGAAATTTTTTGGCTATATATATTATCTATCAATTATATTATCCATCAATTATTTTTAATTTTCAAAAGCTAGTTTTTCTAGTGGTTATTACTTATTAGCTAACTTTACATTTTTCATAGACTTCAACTTGCATGCCATTGATTATTATCTACCACACTTTCTTTTGAAAAAAAAAAAAGAAAAAAAAAAGGTAGTGTTGCCAGCCTATAACAATTCACATTTTCTCACATTATGTTTTCTAATTATTTTTTGTTTCATTCAAAATCTCACAAAGCTTAAAACTGAAAATTACAATAATCATCTTACATAATTATAGATTTAAGGAACTTTTAGGCATATAATATGTATACATATTGTCATACTCAGACCCCTCCTAATATGTTTACTTTGTAGATTAAATTACATGTATATGTTTTGTAGGTTTATCTCAAAAGTAGGTTTATCTCATAAGTTAATTTATACCTGATA